TTTGGAATTTTTTTATTGTTTTCTATATTTTATACAACAATAAAAAGAAATATATTAAATAAAAAATATTTATTTTCTAATTTAAATAACATGCTAAAAATACCGAAAAATCTTTTTTCTTTAATAACCCATTGAACATAATAAATGGTAGTTAAATTGTAAAATCAATGACGGATCTAGGAAATTAATAGAGTAGTGGCATGTTTGATGGGAGTTGGGGGTAGGGATGCTAATGGGGCGCCCCAATCCCCATCCCCGATACCTGATCTTTGTCCCGGTCCCCATCCGCACCGGACAATTTGATCACGTCCCCATCTCCGTCCCCGACGAGGAAACGAAGATTTTTTTTTTCATGTTTATGTAATTTTTTTTAAATCAAATGTGTGAGACGCTACACATGTTTAAATCTCTCATTTTCCAATAAACCTAAAATCAAAAGAAATTTAATTTAATACAAAAAATATACATCATTATAAAATAATTAACAATGGAAAACAAAAAAAAAATTAATTTAAAAAATTAATGTCACATGTACTAAAACATATTGAGTAATGTCCAAAATATATTGAATTAGAAATTATGATCAACCGATTTAATAGAAATAAATAATATATAATATAATTTATTAATTAATATATATATATATGGAAACGGTCCCCATCCCCGTTTGAGCCAAACGGGGATTCCCGTCCCCGAGACCCAGTTTAACGGGGAATCCCCGTTCCCAACTAGGACGGATGGACTGGATTCCCTGACGGATCGGAGCCAATTCTCATGCCTAGTTAAAGAAGGTAAGCATATGATCATATGAAACCGGGAGAAAACCATATAAGATAAAAAGTAAAAATATAAAATTTAAACTAATGAAAGAAGGTTTGTTAGTGGGGCATTTCCCATCCATGTTTAAAGGATGGGAAATGCCAAGAATGTTAGTTAGGATATTTGTGTACACATTTCTATAGGTGCCATCTTCTGACCTTACCCTCTTTATGCTTGCTTTGTCATTATCCCAATCCTCCATAAAACAAGTCAAGACAGCCACACCCATATACCTAAGCTCTCTCTCTCTCTCTCTCTCTCTAGATCATTTCAATTCATCAAATACCCATTTTAGAGAGAGAAAGACATGGCTGGATTAGCAAGGTCAGATATGTCATTTAGAAGATCAGGTTCATCTGGGCTTGTTTGGGATGATAAGCTGTTGTCTGGTGAGCTCAAAGCAAGAGAACAAAGAAAAGAAGACACAGAAGAAGAAGAAAGAAAGCAGAAAGCCTATAAAACCATGGAAATCGGTGCACCCACAGTTGACCCTCCTTCACCAAAGCTGTCTGGGTGTGGAGCCATCTGCAGTGTTTTTGGTAAGCCTGACCACAAGCACAGGAAAAACAAGACCTAATTCTTTTCTAAACCCTAAATCTTGAAAATTTTCTTGAAAAACAGTCTTTAAATGCATCTTGGTTGTTCAAATTCTCTGTTGTTTGGGTATATATATATATATATATATCTATATATATATGTATGTATGTATATGTCAATTAGGGGATTTTTGATGACACACAGAAGATGATAAAGATATATACATGTTTCTGTATCTATAATTTATATGTAGAATTTGAGCCTTAAAGTCCTGTTTTGGTGTTCTTGGTGTTATTGTTTCTGTTCTTTCATATGCAAAGAATCTGTCAATTTCATGGTCAGCATCTTCGACCTTTGACTTTCTATACTTATGATCTATAAATAAATAATATAGAATTTTATTGAATATTAATTTATATTATTAAAATATTTAATTTTTCAACAAACTTGAATGGTAATTTCCAACTAGTTTCTATATATAATGGTAAATTTTAATATAAAATAATATTAATATAATTAAATAAAATAAAATAAACTTGATCAATAACTTATTTGATTCAATAAATGGATAATTCAATCACAAGGGTGGTGACTGATTGGTTTGAGCTTAGCTTCAAATGTCAAAAATATTAAGAGGTCTCAGGTTTAAATCCAAGAAGAAAAAATCCACATGTGACCACGTAGGTTCAAATGCGGTGACTTCGGGATTATCTGCAAAGCATGTGGTCGTTCTGGGATTAGTCGACTCGCATAACGGGTTGGATATCCAAATTAATCAAAAAATAAAAATAAATGGATAATTCAAGTGTTTGAAATCAAAAAGAGCAACTAATTCCATAAAATTGGTATCAAATTTAGTGTAAATAATAAATCTATTTTAATAAATAATATTAAAATGTAGATTTTAGGGTTTTTTTATTCATTTGTGTAAATGAACAGTAATACACTAAATATGATGTGTTACTATTCGTTACATCAAATTTTATATAAGATTTAATGTCAAATTTGCTATTTCGCATAGAATTTGGTGTCCCTTTAGAGATGGTTAAATACTGTATTCAACTCGAGTACTCAACCACCAAGAGCATCGTCAACATTCAAAGTTCAAAATCTTTAAAATAAATGTATTCAACTTCAACAGTTTCTCCTTTTAGAAATTACAGCATTAATTATATCATATTATAAAGCATTTGACAAAAACTCTTAAAAACCAATTTTTATGTATGAAGTATTATTTATTGATGCATATTACTTAAAATTCAAGATTACAAGCAATTATGCGTAAGTACAGCTTATTAAAGTTTCATGTTTGAATTCATGTAACTGACTGCAGATAAACATAATTAAATAGAGCATAAACATCTCATTTTAAATATAAAAAATATAAAATATAATTAGGATAGTCATTGACTTCTAATAAAATACTTAATTATTATCTTTATAAAAATTTATATTATTAAACCAAAAAAACGAATTAAAAAATACATAAAAATGGAGAAATTTTAAATAGTTAATTTGGTACTAATATCAACATTTTTTTTTAATTTTTTATGATATATTCATATTTATATTTTATTTAAAAATAAAAACGTTACGTTTTCTCAAAACCACATAAAAACGTATTATAAAATCGGCTGAGACAAAAAAAGAAATAAAATGAAACAATAAATCGATATGTATCTCGCTGCATTATGCGAGTACCCTTCTAGTATTATTAAAATATTTTGTACATTTAATAAACTATTATTTCTCTTTTCTATACATTTCATTTCAAGGTTTCTTATTGATTGAATATAATAAAAAAAACCATTTTTGGAGAAATTTACACTCTATTTCCTGCTTTCTTCATTTTTTAGAGAGTTTTGGAGAATTTGTTAGAGCAAAAAATGGTCCAAAATCCTCGTTTTCTTCAATTTGGAGAATTTGTTGGGAAAAAAATTCAACTCCAACCAGAAACTAAAAAAACATATTTATTTATTATTATACTAATTTACTAAAACATAATAATTAGAGTAAAGTTCACTTTTCGTCCCTAATATTTATCACTTTAAATTTTCAGATTTGTTCCTCACGTTTGATACCTTGCAACAATTTTTGTCCCTCATCCTAACGGTCGTTAACTTTTTCCGTTAAGTTCAATTTAATGAGGGGTATTTTATTCATTTTTACTTGTTTTCTTAATTTTCTTGCTTTTACAAAAACCATCAAACTTTAAGGACATTTTGCATAATTATCTCTAACATACGTGTGTTTGTGCATTAGAGATAATTATATGGGGGCAAATTCAAACAAGAACACTAACTATTTAAGAAAACAAAAACAAATGTCGTTAATGTACAAATCATATATAATTCACGTATAAAATCATGCATGATTCTGCACGACTTTGCCTGCGACTTAAGTCGCGGTAATAGTCTCCCGCTTCCATTTTTTTTACATTAATATAAAATCATATATGATTTGTACATTAACGACTTTTTCTTGTTTTCTTAAATAGTTAGCGTTCATGTTTGAATTCCCCCCCCCCCTCTCTCTCTCTCTACATATATATATATATATATATATATACATCGGGACCAAATCATCGAGAATATCCATCGCCAGGAGCAACCATCTATGTCATCCTAAACTCACACCAGTGACTAACACCAACCACTAATCACAACCAACACCAATGATGAATAAATTTAGATAAATCAGATGAACAAATTGTAATCTAAATCCCAAATTAGATGAACATATGCATATCATAATCTAAATCCAAAGAACACCCCAAAACAAATGTTTATACATATCGAAATGAAAACATGTTTTATAAATCTAAATACCAAGAAGAAAAAACCTAAAGAATAACAACCTAATCTATGTGAACAAACCCCAAATCTGCATTGATGGAAAAGTGAACCAAAAAATCGATAGAGAAAGGGAAAGAACAACGGTGGGGTGGGGTTGCTGAAGTTGAAGCTTGATTTACATAAAGAGAAAGAGATTGAGGGGTAGGTTGTCGATTTACAGATATATATCGAGGGAGAACGTTCATCGAGGAGATGGAGTTAAGGGTTCATCGGTGTTCATCGGGGGAGGTTTCATTGGAGAAGCCCTAATTGAGGTCTTCATCAGGGGAGGTTTACGTCGTAGAATGTTTAATCGGAGAAGGTAGGCAGTGGATTACATTCTTGGTCCTTGTGGATTTCAAAAAATAATTCAAAATTTTATTTTAAAGAGTAAATTACATTCTTGGTCCCTGTGGATTACAAAAAGAAAATTTTTTAATAGAAAATTGTGAAAATAGGTAAAGTGATCAAAATATCCTTCATTTAACTGGATTTAACGAAAAAAGTCAACAATCATTAGGAGGAGGGATGAAAATTGTTGCGAGGTATCAAACATGAGTGATAAATCTGTTAAAATAAAGTTGAGGGACGAAAACCGTTGAAAGTGGCAAATGTGAGGGACTAAAAATGAACTTTAATCTAATAATTGTAATATGTAATTATTTTCTAAATTAAATAAATGTTATTTTGACAAAAATTCAGATTAACAATAATCTCAACCTACCCCACACGAAAACCATCTTCAAAGACACCAATGTGAGAGGGCATGATTCTATCAGTGGCTGAAGGTAATAGGATTAAACCTGAGACATGTCTTGTATTTAAGAAAAGTCGCTCTACCCAATTGTCAATTGAGTTACATGCCGAAAGCAAGAAATAGTATAAACTTGTTCACTTAGGGGTCGTTTACCAAACACGTACCCGATAAGTGCTTACCGATAAAATTTAACACTATTATTTACTTGGCGGGTAAAATTTTAGTCCACCAAAACGACATCGTAAATAATTTACCCGGTAAGCGTTTACCATGGTAAGAGTCGTCGCCCTCGCTTACCGGGTAAGACTCTTGGTCCTTGTCTCGCTCTTACCGGATAAGATTCTCGGTCCTTACTCTATACATTTGGTGAGGTAATGTTACTTGGAAAGTGCTTACCCGGGTAAGTGTTTAGTAAACGGCCCCTTAATAAAATTTTATTTTGTTAAATAAAATTTCTATACAAATATTTTATGCATGTATCTTTAAATTTCGTTTCATCAAAATCATTCACATTTTTGTTTATGTTGTTTTTTATTTTATTTTATTTAATAAAAACTTAAATTATCTAAATGTAATTTACAATTTCAAAACACAAAATAAATAAGTTTTTATTTTTAGATATTTTTTCAGACCTATTGTCGAACTTATAATCATAGAATCGACTCGATCATAGAATCGACTCGATCATTAGATTTTGAAATATAAAGGTCAATTATTTTGATCTCCACTTTTTTTTTTTTTTTTTGATTAACCTGGATATCCAACCCGTTATGTGTGCCGACTAATCTCATGACGACCACCTACTTTCCAGATAGTCCGGAGTCATCACATTTGAACCTCTGTGACCACAAGGGGATTTTTATCTCTCTCTAGATTTGAACCTGAAACCTCCTGGTACTTTTGACCTTTAGAGCTGAGCTCAAACCAATCAGGCACTACCCTTGTGGTTTTGATCTCCACTTTTTAAGTGTTATAATGTTAGGTTGAAGTAGAAAATGGAGGTCATTAATTTTTGTCTTTTTAGTGTTTATGGTGGTAGGTTGGAGATACCCTTACAGTCTCTAAAATAAAGGAAATGAAGATTTGATTATTTACTTTATTTTAAAGACATACTTTACTTTGTTCTCTAAAATATAGAAAATAAGTGAAAATTCTAAGTATACAGATTTTCTTAAAACTTAAGGGGTGTTTGGTTTGAGGTATTAAGCAGTAATCAATATGAATGAAAATAAAAGAAACTGTTTGGTTTTTTATAATATAATGGACTCATTTCTCCAGAAGCCCAAAATTTCATTCCTAGTTAAACTAGAGGGAATGAAAATTCATTCCCTGTCATTTTCATTTTCATTTTCATTCTCATTTTCATTCCTTAACATGAGCCAAACAGACCGTTAATATTATGAAGAGAAAAATGATTTTTAATTTTTTGCAACTAATGAAATTGAATGT